CGAGCCATGTCCCGGGCGCAGGGGGCCGGGCCGGGTCAGGGCTAAGAGCGGCCCCGCAGCCGCCAGGAGGGCGGGAGCGGCAGCCACCCTCGCCTCCTCCTCAGGTGCTGCTGCCGGTGGCGCGGCCTCCCCGCCGGCTCCCTATGGTGCGCTTCAAGGATGGCGAAGAGACCGCGCAGGTGAGTGGCCGCTGCCCCGCCCCCGTCACCTGTCACCGCCCGTCGGGCACTCCCTCCTCCCCCCCCACGGAGGTGGCGCTTGGTGTTCTGCCCTCTGTCCCGTGGGCAGCGTGGCCGCCCCGGGGTCGCCGCCCGGCCCTGCCCTGCCCTGCCTGCCGCCTTTCTTCCCTGCCCTTCTGCTCCCTCCTCTTCCAAGTCCGTCCCTGGCGGGAGGCAGCGGTTCACCCTGGCTGGATAACCTGATGATGCTGTGCGTGGAGGCCCCTGGCTGTCCACCCGGGTGCCGCCGGCCGTGTGCCTTCAGGTCCTTTCAAGGCTGCAGGCCATGTAGTGCGAACCATGGATAGAATAAGGCATGTCTAGCCTCCTAAAATTGAGGCGGGCAGCATCTGCTGAAGTGAACAAAAGCCATCTCCTGCTTCTTCACCTGCATCTTGGATGTGGATAAATATGCCATTAAGTTTGATTGGTGTTATATAATAAATAAATACGGTATTAAGTTTCACTGAAGTGAACTTGAGTTTGCAAAAGCTTGTGCTGTCATGTACATGTGAATGAACACGCACACACACCGGCGTGCGCACATGCCCCACATCATCTGTCATCTCCATTGGTTTCACACGGACCTTCCCCATCCCTTCTCCTTTTACTTGAGACCCATACCCCATTCCCCGAACAAACATGTATGTCTTGGATTTGGGTAAATATGGTATTAATTTTCACTGAAGCAAACTTGGGTTTTCACAATCTTGTGTGTGTTTGCGTGCGCTCTGTCTCTCGCTCACACATACATGTCTTGTATTTGTGCAAATATTGTATTAACTGAACTTTCACTCACTCTCCATCTCAAAAAGTGGGCTTCTTTTAAACACCTTGTATGTTAAAATGTATTTGAATGTATAATATGAGACAGTGCACACATGACCTGTCTTGAACCCAAGACAGCATGGTGTAAGGTCTTATTTAGTTAGTCTATAAATATGTGTATCTACCCTTCCTTTTGACAGACTTCATGCTAACAGGGCTGAATACCTCTCTCCACAGATTAGGGCAGCTTTCTATGCTTACTGTTGAGTAGCAGGCTTTTTCTCATGTGAACCCTAAACCAATGGGGGTAAGAACCATATTATGAACCAAGGAGTATGGCAGGACTAGGAAGAAAGATCCCACTTAGAAAGTTCTCAACCAGTGGTTCTCAAACTTTTTTAACTCGAGGCACCCCTCAGAAAATGTCAGATCATAGTTTTCAGTCAATTTTTGATTATAGGAAAGTAACAGAACAAGTTCTTCTGTTGCAAAGAACTCGAAAAAGACCACAAGAGGTCAGAGTTTTTAACGCTGAGGATTCCTATATGAAAACTCTGGATTTATCTTGTGAATCAGATTTGTACACCTGACATTCTGTAGTGTTTGTGCCATGTCCTGACTGAGAATCGCTGGTGCATAGTGATACACCCTTACTGAAGGAGGTGACATAAATTTCTTGTTCCAGTTGGGGTTTATTAAATTTAGTGGAATTAAGCTGTTTTTGATTTTCAAATAATTTCAGTCCTTTTCAAAAGCCTTTTCATTTTGTATACAGCTTTCAGCTACCTAGAAGGGATGCCAAAGAATAAAGCCTTACATCTTTTTTTGAAATCTTATGGCTACTAAACTTACTTAAAAAATAACTTACTCTCTTACTCTTGCAGATAAAGCTGTCTAATTTCAAACTGTTTCACTTTGTTAAAAATGTCTGTGATCATAGTACACTTGAACATGAACTGAGATGGTATGGGTAATTGAAAACCATCTATCTGTATTAGATTTAGTTTTTAAAAAATCCCTCGTTTACTTATGTAAATTGCATATTTTTGGACTCAATATATTGCTGTTCTAGTTAGTCAAGTCTAACAGTACAAATGATGTTTTTTGAGATTTGACATAAGGCCCACATATAGAAATGCATAAAATTTGGTCATAGTGTGTATATATAGACGCTGTTCTCTGTGAAATGTAAACGCTAGATTGGTCTTGGTAAACTACATGCTTCTTTATAGAACTCTCAAGTGTGAAGTTGTTAGCAGCCTTTATCAGTGGGCCATGGTGACAGGCATACTGTAGAAATTACTCCTTTCAGTAACTTCCGTAGTGTCATTCATTTCTGGAATCTAGATATTCATTTAAAAAAAGGCTTTTACCATATGTATATAGAAAGACTTATAAATATTAACTAGATGTAAATGATCTAGTATTATATTCTTGAATCTGGATATAGCTAGTGTTTATGTTCAAAAAATACAAGCTACTTCATGCATTTCAAAAATAGAAATTCTGAAACCTAACTATGATTGCTTATTCATAAGTATGGTTCTTTTCAGTGCTAGATTTTTCTCCAGGTTATTGCATAATCTCTTGTTGTCTCTGACAGTTTACCTTGCGCCAAGTTCCAGCTGACTCCTATCTATTTTCCAACGCATCCAGTTTTTTTCATAAACTATATTATAGTATTATTATGTCTTTAAAAAGAGCAGATATGTGGCCTACTGAAGATGTAGGCCAGTGAAAAAATACTGAGTTTAATATCAAAATAACAATATGACCAATTGCATTTATTTTCATATTTCATTCAAGAAGAAGTCTGTTTTAAGACAATCCAAAGAGGCTTAAGAACTTCATTTCACTGTACTAGACAGCAAGTGACATGTGGTGTTGCTACATAATTTTGGTCAGGCTTCCCACAGAGTACACAGTGTCTTGGCTATAATTCAGATGCAGATAAGCTTTAGTCTTGTTGCCTTTCCAAATAAATGTTAATCTCACGTTAAATAACTTGAGCCAGAAAAGTAATTCAAATGTCTAAGGTATTTAAAGGAAGGCCACTTTTTTAGATGATTGAGAGTAAGCGAAATTAAATTAATACCATATATTTACCCAAATCTTACTCCCCAGTAATTATAATGCATGGAAATTCTATACATGGAAAAATTATAAATTTGTTCTGATTTTCCATGTGTCCAATTCAATTATTGAAGGATCGTCTTAAATTTATCTCCACCACTACTGTAGTGGGAAAAGCAGTTAAGAAAGCATTGAGGCAACAGGAGGCAGTTGAGGGAGGGGGAGATGTTGGTGGGTGGGAGCAAGCAGCTTGCTCCCTGCTGCCTGTTCCCCATGCCCCCACTTACCCCCTCCTGCAGCCTTTGCCCCCTGTCTATCCC